AAACTGAAAGGAAATAGAGGATAAGCAAGTCATAAAAAATTAGTAACATCACTCTGCACGTAGACACTCAAAGGTAAACGAGACTAGAAAATGTAGTTTTGAGCTGATCAGTATATCTTATGGAATAAGGGACGAATTGGTTATAGAGGGGAAAAATGAGAAGTCTTCTATAGCCCAATGCTGTAGTCATCCACATGTGAGTGAATATCTTTCTTTCTATGAAAAAAAAGTACCTACTTTCTTCCCAACAAAGAATATCTAAGTTTCATTCCAATTATTGCAACCAGTCCAAAATCCAGGACCTCTGGAAAATATACAGATCTCGACATTAAGTATTGATGTAGTTCTTTACAATTTGGCAACCTGAAAATGATAAATTATCTTTCTTATTCTCAACCTTCTTCCCCATACAAAACACTCAATATTAAGTGGTCAAAGGGGAACAGAATAACTGCAATGGAAGCTATCATGAGAAAAACAGAAGAAAACACATAAGACTCAGTGGGCAATAGCAGTTGCAAAATCCTGCCAAGAGATAAAGGCACCTAGAAACAGCAGTGAAATGTTTTGTTTTGTTTTTTGATAAGGGCATCTGGCAACCTCAGTTCTCCTTTCTGGGAGTCAAGTCAGATATCCTGGAAGGATCTTCTTTATCCCAGTGGATAAATGAACTTATCCATGGCCGTATCTTAATCCCGTAGAGTATGCCCTCCTTGGGAACTTTACAATTTTTGCTGCATGCTTTCTTCTGGTGTATGTTTAGAAGCCTAAGGATTGTTCTAGGGATCATATATGGTAGCAAAGTCCAATGGGAAGATGTGAGGACATCTTTGAGCAACATATATTATCTCTTGCTATTGAAATAGAGAAGCAACTAACTTCACTGTACCCTGTTAAGCCTCGAAGTTTTGAACCTTCTATCAATTTAAATTATAGAACTAACACATAAATCAGAAAAAGATAGCCTCTCTTAGTAAAGTTCTATTTACTTTTATATCATCTTATAAAATGACCATTCTTATTTGAACTCTTATAATTTGTAAACCTTTCTTAAAAGTAGCAAGGATCACCAATAGTTGGGCTTTGTTCAACATTTTTCTCTAGCAATGTGTATCCAGGTCCATAGCCTGCTTTCCAAGTTGTCACTGGTAATGGTATAACAACAGCCATCAGTTTCCCACCCTAAAGTATTTTTTCTTTGCACCCTCCACCCTCCTACTAAGCTAATACTCTATAGTTTGAGATTTAAATGGTAATTCCACATTTCTACATACTTATTTCTATGTTCATCCACTCTATTGTAACAGAGGCTCAAAATTCAGTGACTCAAATAATATTTTTAAAATGTATTTTTCTCTTAACAATCCCCGAGGCAAGCAGTAGTGTAAAGTAAGACTGCTCCATGTGATCTTTTAGAGGCAGAGGTACCTCCCGTGTTGCAACTCATGACTTCTTAAAGCATTGTCTTTATTTGCATTGTAGATACTAGATCATCACTTTGAATGCCTTCTACCAACTGAGAAGGTAAAGGTGCACAAGCCCAGGATGAGGAGATTATTCTTAAATGAGAAAGGATGTTGATTTCCACTCCCATCTCTGCACACATCCCATGTGTCCTAACTTAGTCATGAGGGCACATCTAGCTGAAAGGGTGTATTCACTATTAGTGCAGCCATTTGTCCAAGTAAACATTTATCTGTGGAAGAAATGAGAAGTTCTATTTTAATAATCTAAGGTATAGACTGTGGCAGAGTCCATTTTGATTATTATACATCATTTTCCATTATCTTTCATTATTTTACAAATATCTTGTATGTTCTGTTCTCCCTTGTTTAGAGTTCTGAAAGTTCAAATTCCCTCTTGCTGTGTATGTATCACTTATGATAGACAATAACTGTGCTTCCTTATATTATCTCCCACTGCTGTTCTTTTTCTGTCTCTTATCTTAACAATTAAAATAAAAAGTGAGAAACATATTAATGCCACGCAATGCTGTTAAAGTGCTACTGGTCTTCGCACAGCACACTTTGGGGAACATGATCAGGGGCTTACTCACAGAAAATATGTTGATGATGACAAGGGAAGGAGAAGCTTCCCTCAATGCCAGCATTTTCCTCTATGTTGCTATAAGTGGGACTGCTGGTTGTTAAATTATTTTCTTATGAAGTTCACCTCTTAATCGTTTAAAGAATCAATTTAACAACTCTCAGGAATTTGCTATATCTCTATGAGGACTCTGAGTTGGGTTGCATCATTTCTATCATGTCAAGTATGTGAAAGAAGAGATACGCCTCCAGATTCCAGCCAATGCCATTAGCCTTCTACAATCTCCAGTCATTAGAAGGATGTAGAGAACACATTACCGTAATTTTTTAGACAGTTTGAATGTAAACATGTTGGGCAGTGAGGGCTGAGCTAGGCAATCATTTTTTCAGCTTCTTTACACTTATATTGAAGTTCATGCATTATAAGTTGCTTCCAAGGAAGATAAGGATGACCAAAGTTTTCTCTGCCCCTCTTTTTATATCTGATATATAGACTTTTCTTTTCTTTTTTTCTTCTCTTTCTTTACTATCAATAAAATCAAAAGTACTTAAAATAATGAGACCTATGGAATTGCTTTGCAGGATAATAATAACCACATTCAGAGAACATCTAATTTTAGGCCCTTCTGTCGTTCCTTCCATCCTAACCCTTTGACATCTATCCCCTACCCTCAGCCCTTATACAATTTGGTTTTTGATATTCAGCCATTGTCTCGATACACTTTTATATACTTAAAATGAATTACTAACCTTGACATAACTTATAAATTAAGATTTATATAGGGGGGCAATGATGGATATCTAACTTTAAACCAAGAAGTGTATTTGAAGGAAAATATAATGTATCATGAATATTTATAGATCCCTCAGTGAGATTAAAAATATATGAATTATCCCAATAATTAAATTAAATTAATTTTCACTTTTGCATGTTATTCTTTTTAAATCGTGACATGGTTTTATTAGGCTACTCAATTAAATGGTGTCTGGGCTTCCTATGAGCAATTTATTCTATTGTCCTATAAATATTCATTGAGCAGCTGTTATGTGCCAAACATTGTTCTAGAAAATCTGCTTGGAACACCGAGAGGAAATGAATAAATGAGAGACCAATTTTCTATACCAAGAAGTTTATATTCTAGAAGTGGGGAATAGCCAATAAATAAATTAGCAAATGGGTGTTTGTGTGTTTGTTTGTATAATATATATGGTGGTGATCAATGAATGCTAAAGTGAGCAAAGCAATGTAGGTGTGGGTGGGCCCTTGTCTAAATATATTGATCAGGGAAACCTCTCATAAGTGACATTTGAGTGAGCTCTGAAAGAATGAGAAAAGGGACAACTGGACATTTAGAAAAGGCATGTTTCGGGTAGGAGAAACAGCGAATGAAAAAGTCCTGACACAGTAATGTGTTTGTAGTGTTCAGAGAACATCTAGGAGCCCATGTCCCCTGAGTAAGGTGGGTGAACAAGGAGAAAGTGTTAGAGCATGAGGTCTGAGAAATTCTGGGGGGGGGGGGGCGGCAAACGGTGTAGGCAAAATAAGAAGTTTTTATTTTTCTCCTAAAGAATACGGGAAGCTATTTATGAATTTTTTAGTAGAGAGCTAATATGATCTAACTTATTTCTATAAAAATGACTTTGACTACTACGTAGATAATAGCAACAGAGCAATCAGTGCATAGAAACCACTTAGAAGGATAGCATTCTCATTTAAATGAGAGATAGTAATAACTTTAACTCAGTGATAGCTCTGGATATGTTTAGACATGTTCAGATTCTGGATATATTTTGCAATTCGAAGTGAATTTGCTACTAGATAGAACATTAGGAACTAGATGAGACTGCCTAGGGAGTAAGTATGAATAGAAAAGAGAAACATTCAACTGAGCCCTAGTGGTCTCCAAGAATAAGTGATTGGGAAAATGAGAAGGTAACCATAGGGAAGAATGAAGAAATGAAGTGCACTTGAAGACCCATGAAAGAGGAGATCTCAGAAGCAAGTGTGAAGTGTTTGCAGAATCATGAAATAATCAACCGTGTTAAATGGTGCTAAAGTAAAATGTACACTAAGTCTTGGCCATTGAATGTGAATATGTTAAGATCTTGTCAAGAGCTGTTTCAGTGGAGCAGTGGAATGGCAGCCTGATTGAGCGTCTTCAAATGCCTATGGAGAAGAGTCAGTGAAAAGAGTGAGTAGAGTCACTTCTTTTCAAGAAATTGGATAATTGCTAAAAGGAGTTATGTAGATGAGGGAGAGCTTTTTATGGATAAGAAACACATAAGCTTTGAAATGCTAGTAGGCATCATGCCTTAAAGGGGGAAGTGGATGCAGCAGGAAACAGTGAGGACAATTGTAAAGGGGTAACAGAGTGGGTCGGAGAGAGAGTGTCCTTTGAGTAAGAAATGGAGGAAGAACACCGTTGACAGTTATTGAAATGTGGAAGCATCTAGTAAAATGTCGAGTGAAACAAAATAGCTTATTTATTTGGGGAGTGCACAGACATGATGTGAAAGGGATAGAGGGGAATATAAATATAGTTTAGTGTTTCAATGTGAAAAAAATGATGCATATTTCTTAAGATAACAGCATTAAAAGCCATACATGATTGACCAGATTGTCATCTTAGAGAGCACTTTTTCTTGGAAATAGGCCTTTTATAACTCTCTTCTTGACAGATTTTGAAGTGTTATACTTGTGTTTTAGGGGAAATTTGATTTATCAAATTGGAGGATAGAGATAAAGAAATACTGAGGTGGCATTACAAAACATCATAGCACTCCTTGTCAATAACCTGTGTTTTTCTTACTGAAGATTTATTTAGGATTGTGTTTTATGCCTTAAAGTTCCTGGAATATTACCTCAGCACACATTTTGCCTTCAAATTCCATATGAGTTTCTGGGTTGATTTTCCCGGTTACAGTAACATTGATTGCTGTCTAAATTTGTTGCAGTGTGCCTGAATACTATGACTACGGTCATGGAGTAAGTGAGGATGCCTATGACAGCTACGGTAAGACCTTTTCTTTACTAAAACTGTGAAATCGGAACATCCATCAGTCACTGACAACTCGAAAATTATTTCCATCTTTCTCCCCCTAGTTTTTCCAGAAGTTTAGACTAAATTGATTTATGTAATTCCAGAGTGAGATTTGACTTACACAGCTAGTACCAGAAAATTAGACAGATCAATTTTAATCAAATTTTTAAAAGCAATTAATCACAATCATAAATCATTTTCAACAGCAACAGTGATCATTCTGAATAGTGTCTTGTATGTTTAACTGTGTTCATTGTCTACTCATTGATTTGGCAACAATATTGTGTCTTTTCTGCTGTCAAAAGATCATCAGAGTAATACACATTTAAAATATTTACAAACTTTAAGGGCAGAAATTGTTATTATAAAATAACTCTCAGGTTATTTTTCTAGCATGCATAGCCAAATAAGGCTTGGCTCATAAAAATTCATAGTCAATAAGGATGTCAGTCTATAAAATTAATTTATTTAAAAAATATATTCCTTAATTAAAATACCACTTAAAATTAATCATAATTATACTCAGTTAAGATCTGTTGAATTCCTATGACATATCAATACAGTACATCATTTTTGAGACGTACTTTGTGATTCTTTAAAATACACACGTACCCGGGCACGGTGGCTCACGCCTGCAATCACAGCACTTTGGGAGGCCGAGGCAGGTGGATCACAAGATCAGGAGAGCAAGACCATCTTGGCCAACATGGTGAAACCTCATCTCTACTAAAAATACAAAACAAATTAGCTGGGCGTTGTGGTGCATGCCTCTCATCCCAGCTACTCGGGAGACTGAGACAGGAAAATAGCTTGAACCAGTGAGTCGGAGGTTGCAGTGAGCCGAGATTGTGCCACCGCACTCCAGCCTGGCAACAGAGCGTGACTCAGTCTCAATAAATAAATAAATAAATAAATAAATAGCATCACTAGCTGCCCACCTTAAAAAATGACACTCATATAAATATTTATAGTCTTGAATTTTTATTAAAATAATAGCAAGGCTGCTTGGCATTGGTGCATGACTATAGTCCTAGCTACTCCAGAGACTGAGGCAGGAGGATTGCTTCAGCCCAAAAGTTTGAAGCTATAATTGTGCAATAATCATGCCTGCAAATAGCCACTGCACTCCAATCTAGGCAACAGAGTGAGACCCTGTCTCTAACAAAAATAAATAAATTAAATAATACCATGTTCACTTTATTCCTCTCTATGGGGAAAAATAAAGGAGACAATGTTTGTTGCTGTGTTTGGGGCTTCATATGATGCTGGGAAAGGCAAGTCCTGATGTCGAGAGGAAAGGAGGAAGAATATCTTCCTTAAAACCAGTCATAAACTAACACAAGGCCAAGCCCAGAAATAAGAGGAGAAAAATAAGCCACCACCACCAACCAATCATGGGATGATCAGTTACAGATATTTTGTATTTATTTCTTTAAAATAAATTGAAATACTATGACTACATTCATGGAGTAAGTAAGGAGATAAAGTATCTTTATCCCAATTTTTATGAGGAAACTGAACAACAAAGGTGAAGTCAATATGAGAGTATGGCTGTGAGGCTCAGCTTCTGTTCTTATATTCTCATCAGTGGTTGACATACTATTAATTGCTGCTACCATACATGAAGTACCTATTATGGCTCTGTACTAAGCATTTTATAATGAGGATTAGCAATTGCAGAAGTAATCCTTATAGACATTATACATCTATCTATTTGTATACTCTAATCCCCATTAGAATCCTCTAGAGAAGGATGAGAAACAGATAAGGCTTTGGGATGCATACTCATATTGTCATCTGCATTTTTCAGGTGAGAAACTAAGACTCAGAGCATTAAGTACCTTGCCTCAGTTCAACAATTTGCCAGTGACAGAACAAGAATGCGAATTCAAGTGTGTCTGATTATTTGGGGGTTTGTCTGTTTGTTGATTTTGTCAGGAGGCGGGAGCAGGGTTCAGTAGACTTGGTAAAAAGAACAGGATGTGGTACTTTAAACCTGAGTTTGTTTAAAGGAAAGTCGTTCAGCTTCCTTCCTAAATCCTAAATCTTCCTTCCTAAGTTTGGAGTTCTCAAAATGCTATCACTTGCTATTTCACTATTTTAAGGGGAAGGAGATCTTTTATACTATTATTCAGGAAAAAAAGTAAATAATCCAAAATGAGCACCAGGCTCACTCCCAAATCCAAGTTTCTCTAACACTAATCAAATTAACCTAATCTTTTGCTGTTATATAGCTAGAACTCTTTTCCAAAACAAATTAACACAATTTCAGAAAGTATTTCACAGAAATCTACGTGATGAACAAGTCTGCACAGTTCTGACTCTGTTGGAAAAGCTGCCATAGGAAGTACAGCTTTAGTTTTGTTCCTTATATAATTTCCACTCATTGGAAGGAAGGGGTCAAAGGCATCAGATGGTATTTAATAAAAACACTAGCATCCAAATCCTAGGCTGTCTCCAAAGCCACAGAAGGGGACCAGCCAGGCTGAGGTGTAAGATTGCCTAGCATTTTAGAGCTTCCACATCTGCCCCTGCAGCACTCTTGGAGTTCAACACAGCAATACTTATATTTCTATTGTTCCAAGCACATTCTTGATCATATAGGAATCAGGCCATATACCGTGTACGATTGGTTACTCAGGATGATCAATGAGTAAGACACAAACTGGGCCTTTCTTTAATTCATTGAAAATTTGCATATAGATATTGCTCGTCTCTGAGAATATGATGATATACAAGGTGGACATTGTCCCTCCTTGGTTTCTGATATTTAATGTTGAGAAACTTACACCTACAGATAAAAAACTGCACCAGATTTTAAACCATTTTATGTAATAATTTTATACAAGTTGAGAGAACATTACTCATTTAACAGATATTTATTTAATGGCTAACACATGTAAGCCATTGATCTCAATCTTGGAGATATTGTAGTGAACAATCTCTTGAAACTTACATTCTGATGAGAAGACATGTTCTTATTTGTAAGTAGTCGTTTCTGGAAAAATCGAACTTTTACTTGCAAAATACAATCATTTTTTACACTTGATACATCAATTTGAGGAAAATCATGCTCATGAGCTTTACAGAACTACATGCACTGAGATCAATGGAAAGGATAAATTTGATGATATCTGGTGATAAGAGATTAGATTTCTATTTCTGAATTATTTACATTTTGAAATGTCAATACTATGTAATGCTATTGGAAAACGTGTGTAAATACAAACTTGCTTCTCAAGCCTGTTAATGGAGATGCAAGGGCTATGGTCTGGAGGGCCAGGGCTCACCTCTATAATCCCAAGTCTTATATTGTACTTTCTTTGTAGTCTGGTTCTCCTGCTGTAGCAAAGTCTAGAAAGAAGTGATCCATTTTACTTTAGGATAACTAACTATCCATAAACACTAAATTTCATTCTGGGCCAAATTACCACTTACCAACCAGAAATTTTCTGCACATAGAAAGTAGTCAATAAATTCTTCATAATAAAGTAATAGGGAAAACGTAGAAAGGGATTTGATTGTCTGAACATAATAAGGAAGATATTAATTAGGCAGCAATTTTTACCTAATAACGTGTATTTACCTATTTTACTAACTAAATTTCATTTCTCTGTTTGCATAACCAAAAAATAAAGTACTTGCTGTAGATCTATATGGTCCTGAGATTTGAATTTTGAGAATCTTCTTGTAATAATTGTAATAATACAGGCAATAGAGCAAGGACAAAGTAAGAGGACAAGGAATAGTAAGAGCTCAACACTATAACCTTGCAGCCCAATTAAATTAATATGCATTATGTGCATTCAGATTGTGGCATCAGGTATTTTGTAGTATGATATTAGGTATTAGGTAGTTGGTGATAAGTTGCTTATAATAAAACATCCAAATAGGCAGATGATAAAATGTAAATACAGATGATGAGCAGTGATTTAAGGACCCACACAAGTCAAATATTGATTGATTGTTTTTATTAACTGTTCATACTTTATATATTAACTATTATCTATTTATAGCTTATCTCTAATCAATAGTACACAGTCTTTTAAATCAATAATGGCTATACCAAAATGTAAATCTCATATCTCCAGCTATTCATTTACTTCCGATCTGAATCAGTAACTCCTCTCTGTTACATTGTGGTTGTATCATGGGTACTGATACTAAATTCCAATGGAATGTCTGCATTTTTACAAAACTAGTAGCCTCAATGTTTAGTTTCCTGGCAACCCCCTAGACTTGGAGAGTTATGTGAGGAGTCTCAGAGTCAGCTGTCCCAGGCACCTTCCTTTCCAGCTCACATTGGCAGGAAGAACTGTGAGGTCAAGTGAAGGCACTGGGAGGGGAAGAAGGAATGCTCTCCCGAATGACAGGGTTCTGCATTCCAAAGACTCAGAGATGGAGCTTCTCATTTAGAAATGATGTGAAATAAGCCCACAGAAATAAAAATTCAGCCCTTCAGTGGGACACTTCATTCTGAATCTTCATACATTATGTTTTGTGTATGAAAACTGAAATTGTATTTGTCTCTTTGGGGCCTATATTTTGTCACTGAAATAATAAATATGTTGACTTTCAGAAAATAATGTATTATTTTAGGTCTTATCACAGTTAAATTATTCAGGATATTTCCAGATAATTTAATATTAAGTATTAAACTATCTTGCTCATAATGTAAATATAACATTTAAATATTAAAATCATGAATTAATTTTATTAAAATATAATTATCTTGTTCATTATAAATATTAATGTTTAATGCATTGGTATTTATTAAATATTTAATTGATTTTAAATTGGTTACTGTTAACATTTAGATATTACATTTCTGATAACTTGAATTTGTTTTTGGAGCATGAATATTTGACTTACAGGAATTCCAAATCAGTTTCTGCATTTTAAAAATATTTCTTAATTTATCAGAATCACTATGATTGTTTCAGATGAATCAGAATGGCTAATAATTCATTAAG